TTGCACTTATAACCATAATAACTGAAATGTCCTGTTCCTCTGAACATACTTTCTGTGGAGTCAGCGCTCACCATCTAATGCTGACTACAGCCTCTCCTTTCCTGAGACCATGTCTGATTCACCTCTTGATTCATTTGGTTGTATAATTAGTTATTACATTTTTAAGAAAGTCTCATTTATAGTACATTCCCTCTGCATTTGTATATATTAGAAATATATTTGTTACCTTTATACTTAAATTACACCTTGGTAGGGTAAAAATTCTTGAGTCACACTTCCTTCTCTCAGATTGGGTGGACATTATTTCCCCTGGATATAAGGAGGAAGTGTCAGACTCTCCCAAGATTTTTTCCTCCTTAGAGAACTTGATTTGTCCTTCTAGATACTTACAGACGTCTTAAAAAAAAAAAAAATCAGTGAGAAATCTCACTAAGAAATTTCTTAGTGCTCAAAATCCAATTATAAATTTTCTTGGGACAGGTGTACAGGTTCAGATCTTTATCTCAGAAGAATTGTTCTTAAATTTTTTAAAAAATGTATAAATATATATATTTAAGAAAAAATGATATAGTTTCTATATTTTCCTATAATTTATGTAATTGTCTATCTTAGACATGTATTTCATTTTCTTTTCCGTTTCATCTTGTGTATACCTCTCAAGGCTGTTTCTATGTCCCGACTAGTAACTTTGTCATGTTTGTTCTCCTCTTGTTACTACTGAGTTTGTCTCCGTAAGTTTTTTCCTGACTCTTCTTTTTATTTTATTTTTTCATGTCCTTTGGTTTCTCATATTAACAGGACTTTTTTATATCACAAAGAACTATTTTAACTCTTTGTTTCTGAGGGGTTTAATATACGCAGGTAATACTTTAAAATAGCTTTACCTTTAATTGCACTATATAGTTCTTGTGAAATGATTTATATAAGAAATTATTTATATATCTGGTATATATGAATACCTGGCAGAACAGTTGAAATTATAATCTTTTTTTATTATGGAACTGTCTTTGTGAGGTAACCAATTGATCCAGTGCTAAACAACTTTACCTAAGAACTTTGATCATGTTTTATGTATCTATATATTTCAAATGACTAGCACAGTGATGTTCATACAGTATATTCTTGATGTTTTTTAGTACTTAATGAAGTGAATTTGGAGTTCAAATGCTATTACTACATAAGGTAATGCAAGGCATTCATAAAAATTATCCATCATAAAATCACCTTAACCCCCCTGATAGAAAAGAAGGCAGTGCTTGGCGTAGGAATTGTGTAACTGCATGTTGCAGAAAGGTTAGGCTACGGATATGATGTCTTTTCCTCTGTGTTTTTGGTCTATGTCCTCTGTTTACGGCTGCTCATTTCTGGGCATATTTGAGAAAAATGGACTTACAGGGTTTATAGCTACCTACTGTGCCATCTACTTTCAGTAACAGTTGGTTTCCTAAATGAATTGGCAACTAGGCTTATCTCAGTAGTGTTTTGTTTTATTTTCTATGGTGTTAGAAATGGTTTGCTTCCGAGAGAAAAAAAAATTTTTGTGCCTGAAGTGGCTTTTGACAACTCTTAGGTACCATTACTCCTATAAAGGACAAGATGCAGTCTGTTTAATTTAATAGTGCTAGATTGTCACATTTTTAAGACAGCTATTTTATGGCTTTCCTGAATAACTGAGACCAATGCTTCTCCCTGGAATTTAATAACTCATGTCTCTAAATTCCTGGGTAAAAATAGTCTTCCTCTTTGAATAAAGGTTGCCATGGCAATGGGCAATTGGTCTATGGAAGTCGAACAGCAAGCTGTAGTCTTTAGTTTTTCAGTGTTTTCAAAGATGTGATGTGTGTGATATTGTTTGGGGCAACTCAGATTTAAGTAAAAATAAAGATGTATTTTGCCCAGCTGGCGTGGCTCAGCGGTTGAGTCTTGGCCAATGATCCAGGAGATCATGGTTCAGTTCCTGGTCAGGGAACATGCCTGGGCTGTGGACTCGATCCTCAGTCGGGGGCTTGCAGGAGGCAGCCGATCAGTGACTCTCTCATCATTGATGTTTCTCTCTCTCTCCCTCCCTCTCCCTTTCTTTCTCTGAAATCAATAAAGATATATTTAAAAAAATAAATAAAGGTGTATTTTCACATATCCATATCAGTGATTGTAATTAGGCAATGTGTATATTTTTGCAGATAATCCATTATTTAAGCATAATAATATTCTTTATGTTAACTTCAAGACTATGTCTTTGTTAATTACAGAGATTTAGGGGTGAAAGGAAATATCAAAGTCATTTAAAATATGTTGATTGATGTTGATTGCAATGATTATACTGAAGTCTATAGTGAAAGTCTGCAATTTTGAAGAGAATATCTGTTTGGTAATTATATGGGGATTTGGCAGCACCATAGAATCTGTTGCATAATTCACCTGAAGATTACATCTTTGACCTTAATATTGCTGAACTCTATAATAATTCTAGCAATAGGGAAAAATTAAAATTCTTCTTTAAACTCATTGACAATTTTCTTCAAAACCAATGAATCTTCAAAATTAAATGAATCATTGTCGTTTATTATTCAGACTTGATGATTTCTGCCAGGTTAGATTTAAGTTTTCATTTCTGCTCTGATTAGCTGGAATACCCAGAATTGAATGTTATCGAAATCTATAAATCTCTGGATTAGTTTGCCTGATTCAGTGTTGCTTAAATTGAGTCTCCTTTGGTTGCAAGTTAGAGAAACTTGTTTGTCAGTTATGATTCTTTTGGTTGATAATTACCCAACTAAACATGTTTTAACAATAAAATAAGTTTAATGGTTTATCTAGGTGAACACACCCAAGTGTAGGTCACATTTATATGTGCTTGATCAGGGATCTGGCATTTTCTTTGCAGTGATTGTTGTTGTTATCTATGTTTGCTGGGTCTTCAGGCAGGGTTTCCTCATGGCCACAAAAGTGGGAGGTAGTTCCAAGTCTCACACCTATACATTTCAACAATCAGAATAAGGAAAATTATCTCCTTTAAACTCCTAGATGTCTCACTAATTGGTCTCTCTTACCCTGGTTGTGTGCTCATGATATCCACCAGCCCTTGTGGCCATTGGAGTAACATGTGCAGAATGGCATGTGCCCAATGGCAAGGAGGGATCCCACCTCAGAAGTTTCCAGTGGTGACAACAGGGAGGACTTGAACACCTGTTGGCTATGCAATCAAAATGCTTGTTACCCCCCCAAAACCCACACAATCAATGCCTTAATCTTCTGGAAGAGACTGCTGGAATCCCTAAGATATCGAATCTCTCCTGGGCTGCATAGAATCTTATTTCTGCTTCTTTCTTTGTATCTCCTTTTTTCTCCTTTCTCTGTGTAAATTTTTTATCTTTCATTACACACAACTTATATGTTATCAAAGTTTAATTGGAGCTTTACTTGGGAACTTTTTTTTTAATCTTAATGTTAACATGTAATCACTGTTCTCAATATTTACATTTAGGGTCATATTTTCTCCTTTAGTCATGCAGCAAAATCTATTTAGAATATTCCTTTCCTTTATGTAGTGACTTTTCTACATATATCTAGCCTGATGGCTTGTGAAGAGGTACCTGGGATTCTTGTTTTGACAGAATTTCAAGAATAATTGTACTTTATTAAATTAGCACAACTAATAAATGCATTAGACAAAATTCACATCTCAAACATTATTATTCAAATCATGGACCCTCTATTCAGTAACCATTGTTCTTATGTATACCTCAATGTTTTAAAATATATTCTGTCGGACTCTTCAAATTGATATGCACAATTACATCTCATGGTCAAAAAACGTATTTGCAATTTGAATTAGTCAAGAATCATTTGATTCTCTCTGTGTGTTCCCCTGCAAAATTGCCTTTTAAAACATTTAAACCTCTTAGTTGAGTGAGAGACATGAAAAATAAGGTTCCGTGACAGACGCCATGGTGATATCAGTAACAAGAATCAAATAAAAGTAGAATTTAGTAACCCAAATTATAGAGAAAAAAAGTGTATTATCTCTATTTCTAAGATCTTTAACTGAAAGCAGGTGCTATTGTAACCCTAGCTTTGAAGAAGAGAAGTTTGAATGTGTTGTAGCTCAGTAGTAATTATAGTTCAGGTTTTCAGTAAATGGTGCCAAAAGTGACATTTCCTTTGGTGAGCAATTAGAGAGATCCTTAAAATTACTGTAGTAGAAAGACTATTGTACACAGTGTACCTTTTCTTCTAAGTTTTGTTTATTTAGCAATTTCTTTTTAAGAGGCTTATTAATTTTACATTCTTTTAAATCTAATTCACATCCATTAGAGATTATTTAACTCCTTGGGCTCTTTTGAAGAATACTAACATTTCTAACTTCATAGTAACATTTTGTGTTTTTATTTTAAGAATTTTAGGGACAATGTCTGTTCTTTTGTTTTGAGGACTCTTTTTTTCTTTTTAATGGATCTCTTTCTATAACTCTATAAATTATATGAGTTGGATATATAGTGACTTAAATGCTTCTTTTCTCCCCAGCTCTATTGAGATGCAATTGACGTGTAATATTGTGTAAGTTTAGCATATACAATATGTTGATTTGGTACATTAATACATTGCAAAATGATTACCACCATAGCATTAGCTAACACTGACATCCTATCACATAATTACCAGTTCTTTGTTCTGGGGAGAACATTTAAAATCTACTCTCTTAGCAACTTTCAAGTATATAATATAGCATTAGCTATAGTCACCATGCTGTACAGGAGATCCCCAGAACTTACTCATTTTATAACTGGAAGTTTGTACCCTTTGACCAACATCTCCCCATTTCCCCAAAACCCCAGCCCCTGGTAAACCACTGTTCTACCCTGTGTCTAGGGGTTCAGCTTTTTTAGATTGCATGTATAAGACATGCAGTGCTCGTTGCTCTCTGGTTATCTCACTTACCATAATGCGCTCAAGGTCCATCTCTGCTCTGTTCTTGATGTGATTTTTCTCTGTTATTACAGGAGGACACAGATCACAATTACTATATCTCTCGGATATATGGTCCGTCTGATTCTGCCAGCCGGGATTTATGGGTGAACATAGACCAAATGGAAAAAGACCAAGTGAAGATCCATGGAATACTTTCCAACACGCATCGGCAAGCTGCAGTAAGTGCTTTGACATTTGGAATTTCATTTTTCCTGCTGTGAAGAAAAAATTGTTTTAATTGGCATGTCAACATTTTTTGTTGTGATCACTTTTCAAGTATATTTAGTTCTCAAGCTGCAATTTAGATTAATAATTGCATATATTATAGAAAATGAAAAATAATTATTTTTGAGAAGCCACCATTAATTAAACTATTAATTACTTAAATAAATTAACGGTTTCCCTAATGAGAGGATGAGTTGCGTATTCAAAGTTGAGATAGATCTTGGATGATTTTCAGTTTTCTTGTAATCCATGAGTTTAGAAAACTTTTTTTTTAAATTACATTAACTTGGTGTCTTCCATTTTGCATGGGTTTCTTGCTCTTGGTCTGGGAAAGATTTAACCAGAAACATTTACCATTCAGATAACACATATAGACAAAGTTATGGATCTAAGTGAAGAAGTTTGATATAAAGGAAAAAAATTAAACCTAGAAGGGTCCAAACATATTTTAAGCCTGAGTTCATTATTTACCCACTATGGTTTCTTAAAAAAATAATATAACTATTCTGAGGCACAGTTTCCACATCTGTATGGTAGGGATGGAAGGTGAAATTATATAGGCCGCACCTTACATGGCCAGTGATACCTTGTTCTACCCATTAGACTAAATGCTTGCACAGATTAGCTTTTTGGTCTTCACAACAGTCCTATGATTTCAATATTATTACTCTCCAGGTATTGCAGATGAGAGAACGGAGTCTTGGAAAAATAAGTAACCTACCTAAGAGTTTCTCACTAGTAAGTGATGAAATTAGGATGCTACCCTAGGCAGTCAAGTGCACACTCAAAGTGTGTGTGTAAAATTCTTCACACTTAGTTCTCAGCACTTTTTGATAATCACTTTCTGATAAGTGCCTGATTTAACATTTTAGAATTTATTTAGTTTTGCTATCATAGACAACAGCGGCAATCTTACCATTGATGAGGTGATGTCTTTTTCAGTTTAGTATGATTTACAGTGAAATCAAAACAACTTCAACTTTTCAAGTACTCTGCCATTATTGATATAAACACTCAATGACTTAAGTGACTCAGAGAGGCATGGGTTTGATAAATGTAAAATATCAAAACTTTTGGCCACAGCCTTTATTGTATATATGTAGACTTTCCTATTTCAGGAGGTCAACTTCTAACAGTTAAAATGGAAATTAATTATAATCCACTATGATGATTTATTCAATTTTCAATGTAGAGCACATGTTTTCTGAGGCAGAGAAGTAAAGTAGCAGCTCAGTTGGTTAGAGCATCATCCGTACATCTAAAGGTTGTGGGTTCTATCCCCAGTCTAGGCATGTTTCTCTCTCCCTCTTTCCCTTTCCTCTCTTTCTAAAATCAATAAAAAAACATATCCTCGGGTAAGGATCAAAAACAAAAGCAAAAAAACAAAAACCACAAAGAAACTGTTACAGGGTGAAAGATGCTACTGGTGAGATGACGAGGCCTCGCTTCTTGTCTTCTTAAGGGAAAGATTTCAACCAAGAGAAGTGTAGACAAGAAAGCAAGAATTTATTGACCAGGGCAAAAATGTACTTAGAACAATGAAACAAGGAAGGGCATAGAAGAAGCAGTAGGAGAGCCCAGGCTGGGCTGCTTGGAGGGCAGGGGACATGTGCCTATGAGGGAAGGAGGGGGCAGCGAATGGCACAGGCCTGCTCCCTGGAGGGAGAGAGCCCTGGGACCTTCATTTTCAGGGATTTTAAAAGCTGGGTGCCTAGGGGAGGCCTTAGTGGCGGATCAATGGAATATTTATCAGCTTTATGCTCATGTACCAAAATGAGATTTATTCTCTTCATTTGTCTGTCCTTGGGTGTGGTTGGCAAATGGCATTCATTGGATTTCTGTTACCTGTCTCCCCCATTCCGGTGATTTAAGCTGCTTACCCTCTGGCTGGGGAGAAGTGCAAACCATTTACTCTTAAGTGTCCTTGGTTTAGGGGACAGGATTTGCTAGGTGGTTGTGAACTGCCTTAGTTTCCTTATTCCCTGTTCCACTTGCCCTGGGATTTTCCTAGCTTCTACTATTTTGTAACAATTGGATTCACGTTTCACATGCCGGAACACACTGATTTCTCTTTCCATTTATAATGTAATACGTATTCGTTAGTGTTTGCATGACACATGTATACTGTAATTCGATTACATGTTCTTTCAAACCCCTTCATTGTCCTTTTTGGTTTAAATAACATTTTTTAAAAATCATCATTGGAAAAAGAACACAGATGTTAAAACCTACCTTTACTTTGACAATTTAAAGGAAGGATTTTATATTCCTAGATAAAGAAAGTAGAAAAACTTGCATTAAGTCCCTACTATATGGCAAGCAATGAGCCAGGCACTTTATATTCAGTTACTGGTACTTACTTGTTTTGGGTGGTTGTTGGTTTTTTTCCTTTATTGAAAGTCGCACCGTTGTCAGGTTGCAGATCTAGAAGTTTCTGACTACAAACCTAGGAACCAGTTCATATGTGTTCCTGTCCCTCTGTGTGGACCTTTAAATTTCATAATTTTGAGATTTTCTTCTATACTTCTATATCATATATTTTCATTCATTGCTGGGCACAAAATGTGATTCAGTAGCCTGTCAAATTAGAATTATTTTGCATTCTGAAACTACAGTTTATGAGATTTTACTTCACAACTTGATACCACTCTCTGGTGGAAGGAGTCCAGGGTTAGAGAAGTTACAAAACATTGGCTCCAAAACTTTTTTCTTCAGATTCTGGCCTCTCTTCATTTCACTTTTATAACCTGTCTTCCTTGACTACCCTTCAGTTTTAATTTGAGACTATAAATGAAATAGATATGAAAATATCATATAAAAATGAGATTGTAAAGGCATTGTTATTTGAGAGTCCTAAATCTTTGTAACAAAAACATAATTACACCAAAATAAAAGTTAATTTCTAAATACTCTCTAAGAGTCTAGGTAGATAGACATTAATATTTATGTTATATATCCATACACTTTTTTTTTGGCCAAGAAATTGTCAGTTTGCTCTTTGCCAGACATAAGCACACCCTGAGCTTAAAAAATTTTATCTTTCTCTGTGTTGGTAAAAAGATTGATTCTTTATATAAGAAGCCCCAACAAAATGAAATGCAGATCTTAAATACCTGTCTTAATGCAAGTAAGGTTTTGGATGAAACTTATAGTTTTTGATATGATGGTTGTTTTAAATTTTCATAATAGGACTATTTTTGGCATAGATCCTCAGACTACTTGAATATAAGCAGAAAGCTTAATTGAAAAAATTAAGTTTGCTGCAGTTTATTTTCTTTATTCAGGAAAATAGCATCATTTCAACTAGCATTGCTATCAGTCTTACATTTGCATAATGTTGACGTTGGGAGAGCTAAATTTGGATGCCAGTGGTGATTTTAGTCTGTTGTTTGCTCATATTGCACAATTTCATTTTTTTCTGTGCATTAGAAAATCTGCCGATAAGTGCTTATTTCTTTAAATGATTAACTCGAAAGGCAATTTAATTTGTTGTCTCCATTAGGCTATTATCTAGACCACACATTTCTGTCAGTGTTCAGTTCACAGTGTCTAACAAGTTGCTTTTTTATTTTTGTTTTGGTTGGATGAATAAAATTGCTGCTTTTTTCTCTTTTGAATTGTTTCGTTTCAAGTAAGACATCCACAGTTCATCAACTTGGCCTTACTTGCCTTCGTTCAAGGGATTTTCCTCTAGTTTAATAACAAATTGAGATGAATTGTGTCTGTACATGTCTTTCTAGGTTTATTTTGGTTTAATTAATTCATTTTACTCTTACTCTTGGAGTTAAGTCACCTACCAATTTTGAGAATAATTTTCTCTCTACTGAAGAAAGTATTACTTGAGGGCCTTTGTTCCATTCAACAAACTAACATGAGATCAGAGAAACTGACTTCTGTTGTCTGTGTGCCAGGGAAATGAGCTGATGCACCTGCCTCAAAGCCAGGAAATACATGGAAAGAGCTATTCTTTTTTCCACTGATGGCATTAACAACACAGATTAAACACTTGTTAGGCTTAGGCCCATGTAATTGCTGAGTTCAGTAAACTCCTTTTGCTTATTTAATTATATAAATAGATATATATTACTAATCATTTAAGCTACCCTTGATACCCTTTCTGAATCTAAGGACCAGATTTTAGACATTGCAGGCCCTTTGGAGATTCTTGAAGATAATATATCAGCCTTATGAAGCCCACAGTGATCAATTCTTATGCATATAACAAGCCTTAGTTTTCCAAAGCAAGAACATACTTTCCTCTTTTTAAAAAAAAATTTTATATGTTTTATTGATTTTAGAGAGAGAAAGGGAGAGGGAGAGAGAGATAGAAACATCAATGATGAGAGAGTCATTGATGGGCTGCCTCCTGCACGCCCCCGACTGGGGATCGAGCCCGATACCGGAGCATGTGCCTGACCTGGAATCGAATCGCGATCTGGATCATAGGTCAAGGCTTAACCACTGAGCCACGCTAGCCAGGGACTTTCCCCTTTTTTAAAAATCATACTTGAATTCATCATATTTCAGTTCAGTTTCATCTTAATTCTCATATTGTGTGTTTAGTGGGAGATGGGCATCACTTTATGTAAAATTCGCGTAGATAAATTAGGAGGTAATTTTATACATTCTCTGTCGCCAGTGAGGGCTATAAAATAATTCTAGATAGGTAACTACCTACTCAGCTTTTTAAAGTCACATGTGAGGTGAGTACTTGAGGTTTCTGTGAAACCTTCTTAGAAGATTTCACATTAGCCTTTCATTATCATAAAGCTGCTAAAATGGAACCCCACAGCCATGTCTCAGCTGGAATAAATCAGTCCATTTATTCCTGTCTTTCATCCAAGATTCTCTTCTCCAGCCAGTTTTTATTCTTTTCTGAGATCTCTCCATGAACCCATGAAGACTCACCAGTGGTTAATTTTAGATAACATACAAGTACAAAACATTGTCATCC